TGATCAATTAATCAATTAATAAGAAAGGCTTATTACAAAATAATTTGGCCTAAAGAATCATTGATAGAGTTGAACAATAAAATCAAATCATATGAAGATTAAGTTAGACATCAAGAAGATAAGGTTAGGAAACTCTACTAGAACACTGAGCAAAAAGACAACCATGGGAAATATAAGGCATTCCAGAAGGAGAAAACAGAAATAATAGAGAAGGAATTATCAAATAAACAAAAGATTTGATTTCCCTATAAAAAACTACTGTGTGGGGTAGTGTATATGGGAAAAGTCTAGTATCTACTCCAAGGTCTGAAAAAATTCTAAAAAATTCCAGGGAGTAAAAAAATACTTACCTACAAAGAGAAGACAATGACATCTACATGAGACTTCCTATCAGTAATATTGGATTCCAGAAGATAATGGAAGTCTTCAAAGTTCAGGGGAAGCATACACTGCATATGAAAAATACAGTGAATAATAATTATATGTTTTAAATATTTTTTTATGATTTTCAATTTTTAGGATCAACACAGTATACTTAATTATATGTAGAGAGAGTGTTGTTGTTCTAGACAATAACATCATTAACGAAATTTGGGTAGTAGAGGTAGAGTAAGAAAGAAAAAAATACTGTGGGAGTATTGGACTCTCCAATTTTCACATTGAGAAATGAATAATTTTGTTAAGTTGGCAAATTGTGTGTGTGCGTGTGTGTGTATAAGAATGATTTCTGGGAGCACACAGGTGGCTCAGTCAGTTGAGCTTCTGATTCTTGGTTTTGGCTCAGATCATGATCTCTGGGTCGTGACATAAAGCCCTACACCAGGCTCTGCACTCATCAGGGAGTCGGCTTGAGATTCTCTCCCTCTCCCTCTGACCCTCCTCTACTTGTACTCTCTCTCTCAGTAAGTAAGTAAGTAAATTAATTAATTAATTAAAAGAATGATATCTGAATAGGATCAAAATGGAGCCAAAGGAGGAATGAAAATTACTTAGAAGCTGTGGCTTTTGAGACTCACTGCAGCTCTGGGGACCTCGGGATATAGATGTGATTTTGGATTGCATTGCTGTTGGGAGGTCATAGATGAGTCCATGATTGCATGTACAATGTTTAAGTAGTATCACACAGGGACATCTCTTGCACTGTAGGCATGTGTACATATCAGCCAAGGGCCGAATGGTCCTAGATGCATCCCTCAGTGTGTCTGCTATGACCCTTCCTCTCCTGCCCAAACTGCCCTACCTAGAATGTCATGTTGAAGGATGATGAAAGCAGCATCAACATTGGACTTTGCTTGGGGACAGCCAATGACTGGATTATAGTCATTCAATAGCCTACTGTCTGGTTCATGGTGTGAACCTGATACCTAGAGTTGAAAAAGTTCAGTGAATTCCTTTTCTGGGGAACTTGAACTCAGAATGTGGAGAGATGTACCTGGAAGTAGACAGTGTTAGAGAGCTGCTGTGAAAAGGTCTACAAACTGCAACCAGAAGATCCCAGAGCCATCCAAGGACACAGCTGTGCTACAATTCCAGTTGCCCAAGGCTCTACTGTACTTCCTGTGCTTGATTTCCAAGGGGTCCCATCTCCTTGTAAGACCATTATGTATTCTTCCAATAATTACTCCTTTTCCTTGAGTTAGTTTGAGACAGACTCATTCATGCAACCAAAATCATTCTAATTGAAAGAAAAGATTGACAACTGTTTTACTTTGCATTCAGAAGGGAAGAGAGGGCTGGTGACTACTGTCCCTAGGACAATAGGGTGAACTCCACTTTGTGCAACCCTACCCTATACAAGAACTGGGTGCAGGAGAGACTAAGATTGCTTTTTCAATAAGAATGGTATTTTTTAATTGCTTATTTTTTTTTCTTTTTAAAAGATTGCTGCTCTATTGGTTCGAAGGTCTTAAGATAGTTCTCAAAACCTCCAATCCTCTTTTTTTTTTTTAAGATTTGTTTGTTTTAGAGAGAGAGAATATGTGAGAGGGAGTGAGGGACAGAGGGAGAGAGAGGATCACAAGCACACTCAGTGCTAAGTACAGAGGCTGAGGCAGGGCTGAATCTCATGACCCTGAGATCTTGACCCTAAGATTCTTATTTTTTTTTAATTTATTCATGAGAGATACAGAGAGAGACAGAGACAGAGACACAGGCAAAGGGAGAAGCAGGCTCCCTGCAAGGAGCCCGATATGGGACTTGATCCTGGACCCCAGGATCATGCCCTGAGCCAAAGGCAGACGCTCAACCGCTGAGCCACCCAGGCATCCCATGACCCTGAGATTCTGACATTAGCCGAAACTAAGAGCCGGAGGCTCAAACCAACTGAACCACCCAGATACCCCAACCTCCAGTCTTCTAAAATGAGCTTAGGAGAAAAATTTTAAAAAACAACCTTTAAGTTCTATTTAAAGAACTTTTAAATAGTTCTTTATTTATTACTATTTATTTTGTTTTTCAGACCTGGAAGTAATAGAACCTATACTGAACCTAAGCCTTCAAAACAGGGAACAATAAAGACATTTGGAAGCTGTTAGAATGACCTCCTTCCTTTCTTGTCAAACCCTTCTCCTCAAGCCCCTCCTTGGGGAGGCCTAAGAAAAAGGAAAGCAAGCCCTGATGGCAAGCAACTGGTCTACCCAGCAGCAGGTCTTGTCATCTTCCTGTAGAACACCAAGATTTCACAGAACATAAACATCAAGCAAAGCCATTCTGTGAATCTGATGGATCAAGAAAAAGATAGATAGGATCTGTAATTATGTCTGAACCCAGAAAAAAATGTGAACATTGTCCTAACTGCCCTAACAGTTCCCTATCTAAATAAGGACTTTATTAAGACAACCCATCATGGAATTAAACCCAGTTCCTGAGCGCATCCAATTAGAGTAAAGCACCACTTTCTGAGCCCTCTGTAATTAGCTAACACAAGGCCACATCCTTTCTAGTAAGCCCTTTCTAATCCTTCTAATGCCTTCTTCCTGAACTGCCCACAGTTCTCCCTGGAATGTGCTCTCTGCCTAAAAGACTAGTAAACCCAACTTGTTCAGCAACAATCTTCCCCCGTGGTGTTCAGCCAGAGGGTTTGACAGGCCTTATGAGTGTCACATTTGTCTTCTCCACTCCTAGTATTACTTGTCTTGGATCATGGAAGACTGGCTCCCCAGAACTAACTTTCTTGGTCCAGGCAGTCATCGCCAGTTTTTACCAAGTACTTAATACCTTCCAGGTACTTTATGTGGATTAACTCATTTGAACTTCACAATGACTCTGAATTAACAGGCTTAGCATCCCATATACAGATGAGGAAACAGAGGTACAAAGTTTATAGCAATGCTAAAGTGGCTGAGCCAGGACTCCAAGGAGGTCAGTTGGCCCGGCTCTAGGGCTCCAATGTCCATACCACCCTGCCTCCCACTGCCCTGGTACACTGTGCTCTTGCATGTCACTGAATAGTGTGAGGTCACAATGAAAAGTACTATAATAAGCAGTCCCAGGAAATCACTGCTGGGTTTCCTGTAAGGTGTAGGAGAATGCACACCCACAGGGGGAAAAAAAAATTGCCCTAATGACAGTATCAGAAATAACTGAGCTTCTAAACAATTGGATTTTTTTTTCACCTAATGAGCACATTAATCATATAATTCAAAGTTTTCAACCTACTTTTAAGAAAGGTATGAGATGATCGTAAGTTGAATATACCTAACCAATATATTCCTTTTGTATTTTCCTGTTTTACTAATGTGCTCAAGAGAACATTCCTGCTTGGTAGTAATATGGCTGGTTTGCCTTTAACTCCTCCAGAAAGGGATGGTGGTGGAGGTACAGAGCCTTAGAAGGCAATAATTAATATCTAGTGAGATTTCAATAACTTAGTTTCATTATATTTTATTTGTTTTTGTAATCACCTTCCATCTCCGGCCTACTATCCTGGTTTTCCAGGTAGAAGCGATGTAAAGCTTCATTTAAAAATTATTTCAGTAAAGAATCGAGTTCGTTTAAAGAAAAAATGTCAAATAAATTGTGGTCTGGGCAGGAGGAAACCAAACAAGGAAACGAAAATCATGAAGGTGTTTTGGGAAACCCCAACTTCAGTTTCCTCTTTTCCTCGGATGCTAGGAAGGCCAGAGTTTAATCCATTGGTCACTGGCCTGAAATACGCGGTTCACATCTGCACCAATTGCTCCCCTCAAGTCCCACCCCTGGCTTTATCTTCTCCATCCTCCCTCAGTTTCCCCATCCGCCTCCCGGCCTTGCTACCCTCCACCTTGCAGAAGGAATTAGTGGCGGGCGGGGACGCTCTGCACCCCAAGCCCCAACCCCGGCCTGATTTCCTCTGGGTCCCCGAGGGCTGAATTCTTCAAACTGCGCCGGAGCAGCGTTTCTAAAACTGCTTGGACAGCGGATTCCCCGGCGCTCCTCCAGCTTGGAGTCACTATGACAGTCTGTCCTCGTAAGAAGTGTGAGGGGATTAAAGGCCCTCGCGGGGAAGCCAGGGGGGAGGTGCGCCCCCTTGGGTCCCGTAGCACCGCGCCCTCCGGGCCGCCCCATCCCTGGGAGTCCAGGAGTTTCGGAGGACGCCGCTGCGGGGGTGGGATGCGGTGGGGGGCGGGGATGGAGCCCGGCTCCCGGGATTGAGCGCGGGGTGGGCAGCGCTGGGGGGGGGGCAGGCCCCGGAGCCCCGCCGCGCAGCCCCTGCCGCCCCGGAAAGCGCCGCGGTCTACGCGGGCTGGGTTCGGAGACTCCCCTCTCGGAGAGTTGTCAGGAAGTTCGGGGGAGGGGCGAGTGGCTGTCTGCGGCTCCCCCGGCGCGGGGGGCTGAGGAGGCTCGGCGGCAGCGGGGCTCGAGCTGTCACGTTCCCGCCCACGGGCGGGCTCCGGGGCTCCCCAGCGGACCCGCGGGGCGCAGAGCGCGGGGCCAGGGCGCGGGGCGCAGAGCGCGGGGGGCAGGCAGGGCGCGGGGGGGCAGGCAGGGCGCGGGGGGGGGGGCGCAGAGCGCGGGCCGGCATGGACAGACTGGTCCTGCTCAACGCCCTGGCCACCCGGCTGCTGTTCGTGCTGCACTCGCTGGTCGGGGTCTGGCGAGTGACCGAGGTGAAGAAGGACCCGCGGTACTGGCTGCTCGCGCTGCTCAACCTCTTGCTCTTTCTGGAGACTGGGCTCACCCTCAAGTTCAAGCGCGGCAGAGGCTACAAATGGTGAGCGCACCCCGGGAAAGGGAGGGCGCGCGGAGCCCTGGGCACTGCTCGCGGCCGCCCTGCCAGCGACCCGAGAGCCCAGCTCCCCGCAGCCCGCCGATTCCTCCCTCCGCTTCGGACCCTCTTTGTCCCTGCCCGGAGCTTCCAAGGAGCGCGAGGTGCCTGCGCATCTCTGGGACCCGCCCGAGGACCTCGGGGTCCCAGGGCAACACGGAGAAGGCTCAGTCGCCGCCCGGTGTCACCCAGTCCCAGGTTTGGCAACTTGGAAGATGTGAAAAAGGAAGGGAAGCGCGTGCTTGCCTGCCCTGCAGAAGGTGCTCCGGGCACGGGGGGTGGGGGTGGGGGTGGGGGTCAGTGGGGTGTCCGCGCGCCCGCCGCCTGAACTTGGGGTGTGTGGGTGTGCACTCGGCATTCTGCGCAGGCAGGTGTAGGGATGCGTTTCGCTGGGCACAAGAGACTTTTGTAAGAGCTGGTGTGTAATAGAACAGTCTCCCAGGGTGAGAAGCCCCTGGAAGCACTTCTGTAGCGCTTTGCTCCCTGCAGCCTGGCGCCCTGACTGGGCACCAGCTTCAGGTGCCCCAGGTTGGTTCCTTCGGAGCTTGGTTAATGGTGAGTTCACCTGGTCAAAGAAGGGTTGCCTCGCTGGTGGAGGACCAGCACAGAGCGCTTCAGATCTAACCTCAACCTGCTCTGTGTGATGTTTTATCTCCTCCCCAAGACTTGAGTGGAAATAGAAAAGTTGAGAGAAAGATTCTCTTGCCATTTACAAAGAGTTTCATTCTCCATCCCTCCACTCCTGGTAGATTTTCATCCCGGACTTCTCCAAGTTAGACCTCTTCTTATATTAATTTTTAAAAACTATGGTCACACAAAAAATGCAGTAAAAGGTATACCAAACATTGATAAAAAAAAAGTAAAGCAATATTTGTATATATGTCAATACTTTTAAAAATACCTAATACTAGAATAAACTATTATTAGTCAAATCAAGAATTACATACACAATGGCATTATAGTTAGTCTTCATAAGGGAGGAAAACCCTTCTCTACTGTTTCATATATTAAACTTCAAAAGGCTATGTATTTTGTGAGAGTCTAAGGGTGAGAATGTGTTACTGTGTCTCTTAAAATGATATAAATCTTGCTTACATTTTCCACTGTTGAAAAAATTCTTTTAATTATAAGTGAAAAAAAAATGATTCATGTAGAATCCTCATGTGATACAATAAGGAGGGGAATGTTACAGCCCCTCCTCCACCCTGTGGTCAGCTCTTTAAGCAGGAGAGATTTGAGGTACTTTCCAATATGCCTTTTAAAAACCTTGAAGAGGGACTCTTGGGTGGCTCTGCGGTTGAGCGGTTCTGCCTTCAGCTCAGGGAGTGAGCCTGGGGCCCTGGGATCCAGTCCCGCATCAGGCTCCCTGTGAGGAGCCTGTTTCTCCCTCTGCCTACGTCTCTGCCTTTCTCTCTGTGTCTCTCATGAATAAATAAAATATAAAAAAAAAAACTCAAAGAAAAAAAATGGCATTAGCTTCCCCAGTAAGCCTCAGGGTTAAAGAAACATAAGGGGAGAAAAGTGTTCACCCAGCAGGTCAGATGAGATTTATTTAGTTTTTACTGAGTATCTTTAAGATGCTAAGGTAGAAAATATCTTCAGTAATACGACCATGAGGTCTGAGGCTGAAAAGTGTTGTGTGGAAGGTAATCCTGTCACTGACCATCATAGCTTCTGGGACAACTGTCAACCTAGGAAGGAGGACCAACTCAATGGGTGGTGAAATATCCTCTCTCATGCTCCAAGAGTAGACCAGAGGCCTGAGCTCATGTTTAGTCAAAATTCCCGTCTAGTTATGTAGAAATGCTGTAGCCAGTTGGAACTTTACCTTCATGTCTATACCATCGTTGGCAGCTGATTCTGACTGGTATGTAACCTACAACTAAGAAAGGAAAAAAGATTGGGGCAAAAATGAGTGATCAGTATGTCAAGTTAAATAGGGACCTGGGGACATATTCATGCGTAGAGTGTGGTCTCAACATTAGAAGGAAAATGGAATGATCTGGGTCTTCCTATTTATTTATCCTGAGGCATTGAACAAGTTACTTAGCCTCTCTGACCGTGGTTTCTTCATCTGTAAATACTTCTAGGCTGCTATAAATTAAATAATACATTTGATAGTTGATGAATAAAAAAGAAATTTTTTTCTTAGATCCTAGGATTTTTCTTTTTTTTTTCTTATTATTAAAAAATATGATGTGTCAACTGGACACATTTTCTGTACAAGTCCAACAACTTCACTTGAGGGACTGGCCAATAAACCACTGGCTCACAATTGAAAAGTTGAAAAAAATTCTCACCTTTACTTCAGAACAGGCCATGTTATGTACTGTACAATATAGCATTTATTGAGAAAATTGTGCCAGCTCAATATCTAGACTAATATTTGAAAATAAGCAAAGTAAGTAGTAGATTTGAGGGACACCTGGGTGGCTCAGTGGTTGAGCATCTATCTACCTTAGGCTCAGGTCATGATCCTAGGATCCTGGGATCAAGTCCCTCACGAGGTTCCCCGCAGGGAGCCTGCTTCTCTCTCTATGTCTCTGTCTCTTTCTCTGTCTCTCTCATGAATAAATAATCTTTTTTAAAAAGAAAATAATAGATTTGGGGCTTATAAATTTTCAGGAACAAATGAGTCTTTGTAAATGATCTAAATAGAAATGTGATTAATAATGCTTTGTTCTACTGATGTTACTAAATGCTTTGTTCCACTAAGCCTGCAAATGTGGTTACTTTTGTGGTGGACAAAGTTCACACACTATTCTGTCATAAGTTTGAGGAAAAAAAAATCAGAAGATGGGATGCTGAAAAAATATATATACAAAATTATTCCCGTGGTAACAATTAAAAAGGATTTGATTTGGAACATATTTCATTTCTGGGTTAATGTTTTCTGAGTAAGGCAAGGCATGATTTTTTGTTATTCTTGAGTGTTAAAAAGATAGTTTCCATCAGGATATCATGACTGATGAAATTAAAAAAAAAAGCTAAGTAAGTCTTATGACAGTATCTAGAACTCTCTATAGGAAAATGTCAATATATAGATCTATATGCAGAACTATATATTACATACCTTTTGATCCATTGATCTTACATTTTGGAATCTACCCTATAGAAACCAAAGTGGTCATATGTAAAGACATATGCACAAGAATATTAATTTCCATCTTATAAGTAAAAAATAAACCTAAAAGCAACCTGATTATCCATCAACAGACTGGTTGAAAAATTATAAAATATACCCATACTGTATATATTTTGTTGATATTAAAAATAACGAGCTAGAGTTTAGCTATTGACCTAGAGAGATGTCCGTGATATGTTGTCAGGAGAAAAAAAAAGTTGCAGAGTTATGCATATTATAGGTTAATTTTTTAAAGGACTTGTCAAAGAATTATCTTTTGTATCAGTTGAATACATTATCCATTTACAAGTTAAGAAGAAGAAGAAGGTGAAACCTTCCCATACTTAAAACCAATCAACCAATCAAATAATGCTTGAATGGTAGATCAAGCTTTGTACATACAGGAGGTGAGAATTTCTTCTCTGGAACATCAGATCCATGAACCTCCTTTAGACTACGCTGGTATACTTTGTACATTGTTAGTTTTACTAACGTTTGCACCTAGCCCCACATAAATCAAACCTACAGAAATCATGAAATGATACATTGAGCTATAGAGGAAAATGTGAACAAAATTTCTTGAAACATAGCAAACATATTACACTTGTCAAAAAAATGTTTCTTTAGCTATCCTTTGGAAAGGAAACATGGAACTAGTGCAGCTGAGCTCAGCTGTCCAGGGACAGCAACATTACCTCAACACTAATAACTTGCAGTTGGAGAAGTTTAATTTGTTGGAATCCTATAGGATAGAGAGGGTAAGCCAACAACACATCCCTTGTTAAGCCTAGTAAATGTGTGATGGTACAATTTGTTCCTCTTCACCTGGTGTTTATTAATTTCATGTGCATGATCACTTACTTTCCTATGAGATGGAGATTGGCATCACTTGCTTTATTCTTTCTTGATTTTATTTTCTGAATTATCATTTAGGTAAAGTCAAACACAAAATAATGTTTCTGTTGCCTATTTGCTAATACTGATAAAATATTCCTTGGCGGTTAGACAAATAACCAAAATTGTGACATGTTTGAAGCCTGTTCCCTTGAAAGCAGGCGGTATCTGAAAATAAATAGAAATCTAAGTTGAATTTATTGGCAAAAGTACAGAATTTTAAACACTGAGCTTTCTTCATCTGAATTTTAAGAATATAAAGTAATATAATCGAGTTAATAAAATTCCTCACCTACTTGCCTGTCTTTCCTCAGTATACCTCGTTCCTTTTTCCTTCATTGTGTTTAATCAAATGTTGATTTGTTAAATTGCCCAATAAGTACATGTGGTACTAGGCTAGATACTACATGAACAGGCAGAAAAAACAGAAAACATATTTGAAATTTTTAAATAAAGGGTAGTATTTTGATTAAGTGTTAAATGTGTGGGAATAAGAATAATTGTGACTATTCAGCATTTGTTGATGTCCAGGCTCTCTCAGATGTCTTACACAGATTATTCCATGTGATCTTGACAGTAGCTGCAATGATTTTGTTTCTCTGTTTCCCCCTCAAGGGGGAAACTGAGACACAGAGCCATGAAATCATTTTATTTAGGACCACTCAGCTGGTAATTGAAGGAGTCCAGCAGTTTAGAGGAGAAAGTATGTGAGGAAGTGTGTGTGTGTGTGGGGGGGTAGGATGGGAAGGAGGAAGGGACATCATGGCATTTGAGCTGGAGCAGGAAAAATGGGTAAGAGCCAGGAGTGCAAAGGCTTGTCCTGAGGGAGGTGGGTGTAGGAAAACTTGAGCAGGTTTCTCTGGAGGAAGCACACAGCCTTATCAGTCTTCATTCAACAAAAATATGTGGTACAGCTAATATGTGTTAG